GACTGAAACCTGCCAGTTCAGTCCATGGTGGCTTTTAGACTTAGAAGGTGCAGTGCAGAACTATCCCACATGGAGACCATCTCAGGCCCTAAAAATAGCCCAGACAAACTAAAAATGTCCTATGCTAAATACACTGCAATTTTCCATGCTTTACCATTTTCAAAATCCAGGCTGGTGTCTCTGTATTTCATTGTACCCTGCAGGTAAACTATTTTATTTGGAAATAAGGGGAAACTCTTCTTTGGTCTCCATTGCACGATACAGACACACCCCCAAAGCTCCAAGTGTGCAGTGGACAGTGGGAGCTGTCAGAGTGTCTTGAACTGCTATAATACAGAAGAGGTCTCTGGTGCATGCAGAACATACTTCCACCTGGAAAGTTTACGTGCACATAAGAAGGAAAATATTCTCTGAAGGCTGAACAATAGTACGCTCCCAAGCTTCCTGGTTTTGTTATATGCTTGATGTACATCCTGGAGTGACTGCACTGATTTCCATGTCTCTTCCTCAGTGCCCTGGTTGAACCCTGTACCAGATGGTGGGGCTCAGTGGAGTCAAGCCATAGTTCTCAAAAAAACAGTTTGAATTCTTTAGGCTGGAGCTGACAATGAACTGTGAAAGATATCTAGGAAATCTTAACTAAAGAGAAAGAACGGGTAAATCAAGATAAAGGCAAGTGACAAAGTTATTCCTACATGGGGAAAGCAAATCTTAGATGTGCACAGGACATGCCAAATGCACATGGTGCTAACTAGAACTTCTGGAGCAATCTGAGCTCCCATAGCTTACCTGCAAGGGATACAACCTGCCTGGGTCTGACTGCATGTGAGGGCAATGCTCACCAATGCCAAGAACTCTGGGAGCAAGTTATGGGAGCCAGACCCATGTTGTGATGGGTTGAAGGAAAAGAGTGTCCTGAGGGATGTAAATTCAAGGATAGGCTCTGTCCCATGGCCATGATGGGTGAGCATGATACAGAGTGGGTCATTCTGCCTACGGTTTGTGGAATTTAGGATGGGCACTTTGGAGAAATGAAGGTTGGATTTGGGGGTGTCCCAAGCTGTTCCAGAATAGAGAATGAGAAGAGGGCCTCAGTGAAGGGTGGGAGAAGGGGGTATGGTGTGTGCAGGATAGGATCTGACATGTGTGACAGAGGCTCAGAGGACAGCTGCTGAGAAACATGTTACAGGTACCTTAATGACTTGTTCTCCTGAGAGATTAAGTGGTGCCAGGGATGTAGGATTCATCTCAGTGGAATCAGACTGGCAGGAGAGCAGATGATGTGTGGAGAGAAGGGAAGGGAGATACCCCATCTTCATCTCAGTCTCCTGCCTCCCTTCACCCCACCATGTGCCCTTAGCCTTGCAACCCGTTTTGGCAAAATCACAATGCTGATTTTTTGCCACTCATTAATAATGAGATCAATTATTATCGTGCTTCAGTCTTGGGTCAGCCAAGTTCAATTTTTGTTTACACTGCCTAGAACTTTTGGTCCACCTCTGCCTTTCCACATTAGGCATCCTATTTTTTTATTTATGGTGTTCAGTGATATAGACTGTGTGGTATTTGTAGATATCCAGCTTCTCTTCCCATCTGGGAAGACATTTCCTCTATTAGTAGCTGCCAGCAGTGGCTCTTCTATTATTTCATCTTCTCCTGCTGCCCCACTGTCAGGAGGAACATATTCCAATTTGTGTTATATCAAAGTGAAATCAGAAGCCACCCAACAGTCATACTCATGATTTGGAGGAGCATAGAAATGTTTAGGACCAAGTTATTGGGTTGAATCCAGCTCATTCAGTAGCAACTGGAAATGGTTAGTGCCTGCTGATGGGCTGGCAGTTGTGGGGCGTGATACTGGTGGCTCTACTCCAGTTGCTAATGGACAGATGTCCACATCATAAAACCCCAAACAAAAATTAATGCTGTTGCTGGCAGCCTCAGCAGGCAGTGAGGCTGTTCTTACACCGAGCAGTGCCCACAGAGAAGCCCAAGAGTACTGGAATGAATAATTTGTAGACCATTCCTCTGTGGGGCTTGTTGTGGGGATGAGAACCATCTACACCAGTAACTGTAGGTCTTGTTTTGAAAGAAATAGTTTGATGATAGAAGCCAGAGGGTATATTGCCGGAAGGAGGAGACAAATTGGTAGGTTAATGGGGTGTGAAGAATGGTTTGATCATTGTTCTCTGCACCTCTTTTCTTTTTGTTTCTCATACTTCTGCAGACCCATTTCTGTATCTCCTCAGCCTTCCTTGGCTTTATTCTACTCCCCATCACTTCCACCAAGTACAGTAATGCTTCATTCAAATGTTGAGAATTATTTCACTTCTTTATTTAATACTGCAGCCAGAAAGAGCTGGTGTATTCTGGGAGGAAATCCCTATTTGACTAAGGAAGTGAATGCTAGACCGAAAACCAGTCCTAAAGATGCCAGATGGGATTCTGGCTGTAAGAATTCTGTGGAGTGGATCCTGTATTATAAAGATGCAATGTTACAGTAAAGAAATCTGCTGCTACACATGAAGTGGAAAAGTCTTGTAGTCCACAACTTGGACTGAAACAGCAACGGCAACGCCGAGTCCCTCTGCAGTAATTCGACCTACATAGTCTAATTACTGTTTATCTTATTTTCCTTGTTCTTCTGACACATGAAGCTGGCTGCCTATTTTCTATGAAAAAAAGCAGGCAGAAGAATCCAACCCAGACAAAAACATATTTTAGCATTGGCATTGAAAATTTCAAAACTTTATTTTCATTTTTTCTAGACCTTTACCAAGGAATATTGTTTTAAAATTATTACGTAAAATAAGTGTAACACATAGTAGGATGTTACTGAGGAATGAAAATATGTGTTTTGAAAGTTCTATGCCATCTTCTTTCTTCAGCGTAGCAAATAGCTTTAGAGTATTTTTCTTATAATTTTAGAATAATTTTATAAACTGATATTTTTTAATTTCTTTTCTAAATCATTATCTAAAATAATTTTTCTATAGCTGACCTTAAAAAATTAGATAACTGAATATTTTTACTATTTTCTAATTTTGGAGGTTTATCATTATATACATTTAAGCAGGATATGTCGAGAAGTACCAAAAACTTAGTAAAAATATTTCACAAACATGATATATGACTTCTAAAATGACAAAAACCTTTCAATATAGAAATTAATATCTTGACACTGAAGTTGATTCCAAAGACAAAATTGTTTTTATGCTGAGGAAGAAGAAAAATACTTTTTAAATTACCATGTTGCAAGTATAACAGAGAGTCCACAGCTCAAAACTGCTCTAACCCATGGCACTGCTGCCATTACATTGCTGTGCAAAGTGCTCAATCCAAAGTGCTGTATGAGCATAATCAGAGCTAGCACTTTAAAAACAAATAGTGGAAGGTTTTTTTATTATCTATATGTGGGTGTTAACAAATGCTGCATCAGCATCTGCTAAGGATGCTCCAGTGGTCCTGGCCAAATCTCTGTGAGAGCAGTCAGAGAGTCAATGTGGCACACAGCTCAGTGATCTCCAAGTGTGGCAACCTCGGTATCTGCTCTCCAGCACAGGATCTCTTCCTTCGACCTTGTTTCCCGCTCTGCATGGACCCACTGCCTGGGGGTACTCTACACTCTGGCAAAGCAGAACATGGTTTTGCTCCCCCCACCCTACCTCTGTATAGCCATGAAAAAAATTTTTACCTCCATTGAACAAGTCACTGTTACATCGAAAAACAAAATTAAGTCAAACTGTATTTCTTATTATAGAAAAAAAGAACTCTTTCAAAGAATTTGTTCAGTAAACGATAGAACATGGTGCAAGACCTCTAACAGGTAATGTGTTATTATACTACTTACTGCAATCAGCTGTGTCAGAAGACACCTTTAATCAACCACCCTATAATTATGCTAAGGGTTTCACAAATGACAAATCCAATTGGCTGGGCCAGAGCCCTGCCTTTCTAGTCAAAGATAATTGTTTTGTCCACTCACCTGTTCATTCACTCCAGCAAGACCTGGCCTGTCTGGAGGTGAGTATTTACTGATTATTTTTATACTGTTTAAATTTTTATTATTTTTAAATTCAAATCTCAGAGAGAGAAGGTAAAGTTTGGTAGGACTTTCCAGAAAGATTGTCAGGAATCCTAAAGTGTAACAACCACTTTGTTACTAACCTGTGCATTATTTTTATACTGTTTAAATTTTTATTATTTTTAAATTAAAATCTCAGACAGGGAAGTTAATTTTTGGTAGAACTTTCCAGAAAGATCGTCAGGGATCATGAGGTATAACAATCACTTTATCTGTGCATTACACACACTGAGCTGCATTTGACACTATCACCTGTTTCTCTCTCAGCATAGTTTTTTTTTTTCAATGCAAATGATTCACTGAACTATTACACACATAAAATTACTTATTAACTGCACATATGTAGCTGTCAGAAGTATTGAGTAAGACCTATCTCTCCAGATAAAATTGTTAAAACAATCTTGCTTTAAGTAAGTCTTGTTTCAAACTATTTAGGTTGTTAGTCTAGGCAATTTTTCTTAGTGGGTGGGAATATGTTTCCTTTACAGGTAAGAGTAGGCTAATAGGGATTTTTGTTTCTTTAGGAGTCTACTGGAATACACTTATGCCTGTGAAAGCTTAATAAGAAGTTACTTGTCCCTAGCAAATACTTCTAATCGGGGTGAAAGAAAAGACACCTGCATGTTTTCAGCCTTTCGACTCTGGTAAATGATACATTGCAGTGTAATTGCTACTTTTGAAGCCACAAGCCAGCAAGACAATTCTCAAAATATCTGAGGCAAGAGGTTTGAGTCAGAATTGCTTGTAAGCATTGGAGCACGTGCTGGGCAGTCCCACACAGGTGTGGGCTGGCAATGAGTATCCACTGAACCCTCCCAGGAGGGGAGTGAGGATATGGGCAGCGAGAGCCAGGCCTGAATGGCACATGCTGTCCAAGTTCTAGCTCCCATGCCAGTGGTGCAAATTCACTCTCTCAACATGACAGGTGTTAAGGTCTTTTAACCTTAAAAACAGTAGACATCATTGTGTTTCTCAGCTTTGCTGGTTAGCCAAAGTTTGTGAGGGTTTGCAGGTTGTTTCAGTTAGAAGCAGACATGGTGATGGGGTCAGATGTCCCAGCTGTGTGTCCATAGGGACAGCACTAGCTTTGCTGCCCTAAGCAGTGGCTGGTCCAAATAAACAGAACTCGCTGTTTGCTCAGCTCAGAGCCAGGAGACCCTGCTTTTAACCCCGCCTCTAAATCCTTTTCCTCAGGCTTTCTCCAAGGGTTATGCTAATGTGCTTGCTCAGGCAGACCCAGCTGTGCTCCTTTCTTCTTTTCCATTGAAACTGTTAATTCTCTGCACACTTGCTTCCCAAAACAATGCTCGATAATGTTAATGTCTCCTTCATAAATCACCGGTGTTCTGCATAGCTTTGTACTCGCTTTTGTTTCGAGACTTCTACATCTGCTTTCCCATCTCTCCCACTTATCTCCAGGGATGGGTGGCAATTAGACCAGCTCCTCGGTATTAGTAGGTTTATCAAAATAACAAAAGGCTGTGTGAGGACTGTGAAGAATCAGCAGGTGAAAAGAGACACTGTAGGAAAGAGAAATTACTCTTGAGGCAAGGTTTATTTCTTTACTGTAGTATCATATTTTCCTCAGATTGTATTTATTTATATATAATCATGTGGGAGAAAGGAATATGGAATGAATTAAAGTCCCAGGAGAGAAAGATTAAAAAGAGAGAGCATTCAGGTATTGCAAAAGAGAACTTGAAACTGCAACTGTGAAGACATATGTTAATGTACAAGCTGGTACTGAGGTTAATAATACATATTTATTTCCAAGGATAATTTGCTATGAGGACTCCCCCCCACCTCCACCTCCTGTTGCTCTAGCAACACACTCCATGGAGCGTGGCTACTGAAAATCCAGGAACAATTTAATCCATTCAGGTTTAATTTACCCCAGAAGCGTATCTGCTCCCTTACTTTTGAAAGGGAACATCACTACCGTCTTTCTTGAAGATTCTGTTTTTTCTAAAAAAGAGGGCATAATTTTGTGACTGAAACAGTTTCACATACAGAACTGACTGCTGTGTTAATTTTAATACTGCAGTACTTTCAATGATTAATCAAAAGCCTATTCTGGTCTCTTCCCCAGGCATTCTCGAGAGCAATCTCCCTTTTTCCAAAGGCACAGCTACTTTTGCTACAGTGTAAATAATTTATTAATTATCTAGATTCATGTAATGATTAATGCAATGATTTCTTGCTATAGAGAGAATATGTTTGGACTTGTTTTGTCACAAAATACTAGAGATTCAGAAGATGGTGAACATTTTGCAGAATAACCTTAGTAAGGTAGAATACTTTGCAAAGTCACATGTGACAGATTCTTTATCTTGTCCCCAATTCCTCTGCAATGAAAACTGTCATTACAGAATCTGAGTTCTGCCAAACCTAGTTACACATAACACAGGAAAGGAAATTTTTCCAAATACTCTTGGAAATGTATTTAGACAGTTTATTTGGCTAACTTGCTAAAAACCAAATTACAACATCAATAAACAGGCTGTTAGGATATCAAGAATTTTTAAAAAATTGAGAATTTTTAGAAAAGTGAGAATTAGAACTTGCAGGAGAAAAGAGAATGAGGAGGATAGAGGTTTTCCTAATTCAAGAAACTAGTCATGGAACACCACAGTAGTCATCATAAGACTATGAAAATAATTGGGGCATATTAGCAAAAACATATATTCTAACTCATTTAAATAAAATAAGTTAAAAACATATATTTAACTCATTTAAATAATTAAAAAGTAGTGTGACTAAATCTTTTGCATACACATTTTTATGGGGGGCTGTCTGCAACCTGGATCCTCAGTTCTTGACCTCTACATCATTGGCACATTTTGAGTTCTTCCACAGACAACAGAAATGCTGGCAATGAAATTTGTTTGGAGTTTTTTTCAGGCTTCAGGTCCTCATGCACTCATTGCCCTGTGCTCAGAAATAAAGAATGGGAGTAAGCAATGATGAAAGCGATGGTTTGGCAGTTCTTGATGATAAGAACAGCCCACAGGAGTGGAGTGTAGTTTGACAAGCAGTCTTAAATCAGACATGCTGGCTAAACTAGCCAGTTTTACTGGTTCATTTACTCAGTCATAAAAAACTCCTTTCTCTCTTATATTTTGATTGAGACGTTTTCAACCTAAACAATTCATTACATGGCCTCATTAACAGTTGCCTTAGCCCAACTGAGAAGATTAGACTGAAATGAGGGTGGACTTTTAAAACCACTGTGAAGATTGGTGCTTACCAAATTCTGACTTTACAGACAAGCGTAGCTTAATGCATTTGTAACAATGAGGCTACATCCTACTATGCAAAGACCACCCTTCACAGGTCAAACCTGCCATCAGCTGTGCAGCACAGACAGTTCATACCTCCAGAAGTGGATGTTCTTTCTGTGGAGCTTCCTATTCCTCACAAATGTTAATGTTATGATCACAACACCCATGCGTGTTTCGGTTAATTGAGAATCATTGCCTTCTCTTTAAGAAATGCCAAAATGATACAAGTGGGGATTGCAATATAACTACAATGTTACTCTTCCCTTTCTTCTGTGGCTCCTTCATGACTCTGACACCTGTTTATCACAGTCACTAGCCCAGAACATGTACCTCTGAAATAGCAGGAGGTTTTAATTTGAAGTTCCTACAGTGATACTGTTCCCTTCAACCAGAAGAAAGACCCCTCCGGAACAGAATGGAAGTGAATGGGGGTCATATCTCACAATAGCACCACCTGGGGCACCCAAGGACAGAGCAGGAGGGATTTATCAGTCATCTTAAATATTTTGTACTGATTTATGAAAAACACAAATATTGACCTTAGGCAGCTCTTCCCTAGCAGTGTGTGCTGCTTTGATACTATACAGAGAAACTAAGTTTATGGCTGTATCAATATTGGTGGTACCTTTTTCTTTTTTTTAAAAAAAAAGCTTTGGATTCTACTTTGGGTTCCAAGTTTAAATATGTTAACTTTTAATCTGATGTATCCTTAGTCTGTTCCTCTGCTCCTTAGGAGTCTTTCTCCTTAGGACTTAATTAGTGCTGATATCTTCACAGAAGCAGGAGTTGAGTCTTTAGACATCTTTTTACATGTTTACATTTTTCTAACCTTCAGATAAACGAAGAGAGAAAGCAATTTGTCCCAAGAACTTATAAAGGTACACTGTCTAGTACTGTATTTTGTCTGTAATGTCAGGAGATATTTCTACACTAAGATAGCTAGTGCTTATATGAAAACAAAAGAATAGAGACTAAATCCTCAATATTCTGGTCCCACCTGCATATTTGACTACACATCTTACATCACAGCTTCACAGGGATTTAAGAACTTACATGAAAGACCTAGATTCTTCTGCCCCATCAAAAACTGCAGTTCTACATGCGGACTTCTGTATCTATAGTTTCTTTGACACAGGGAAAAGACCAGCAAATTTTCACATCACTATTGTTTTGTTATTATGTCACTAATTAACAGATAATAGCACACACATTGTTTGAAGAAACAGTTAATAAACACTTGAGAACTATCACCTAAAGTGATAATTACATTGATGATCTCAGCCTTAGAAGTGTTCTTACATGCTATTGTTCATATGTTCATATGAACCTTTGCTTTCATATGTTCAAGTTAAAACAGGCAAAGTGCAAGATTTTATGTACTTTTGCTTGAAATTTGGTAGGTGTAATTAAGACTATTAACACAAGAATGTCAGATACTGGTTGTGCTTACTGGCTTAAGTTTAAGGTTAGCAGATCTGACTTGACTAAGCAATGTCTAATTATTTCAAGGCTAAACGTGGACTTTCATGTCTAATTTTCATAAAAAACTCAAAGCTGGATTCCTGTAATGTTTACTGGCACCTTTTGAACTGAAACTTTTTGAACAGCCCAACAGCATAATAAATGACTTTTGATGAGATACACTATCCAGTTGTGGTAGAACACACAACATCCATTTGTGTGACATTCAAGGGGATGTATAGTACTCCTCTCCCTTTTATTTTCTAGCTGTCTTTGGTCAAGTGAAGCTTTTTTTTTTCAGGGATACATGGCATGGCCCAGATCTATGATTCTGTGGTTACCAAAACACAGGAGCACACTTGAATTTCAATTGTATGTTTCTGTGGTTCCATTTATACTGTGAAAAATGATAGAATAATTAAACTAAGAAAATTAATATGATTTCCTCTAACACTCAACCTTTACAAATGCCAGATTTGGGAAAATCTAAAGCAGAAGCTATTTCCATAGACTAAGGGCATGTAGATCCGTCAGTATCTACTTCTAGTCAGGTAGCCCCTGAGCAGTTAGTGTTAATATTTTCTAAAGATATTGACTTTTTGACAAAGATAAGGGCAGATTTATGACTCAGCTCACTTAGACATTCAAGGAGGCTGAAGAGAGTAACGTTTATCAGAGCTGCCATTATTAGGCTGGGTCAAAGGCAATCCTCTTAATCAGAAACTATCACATAAAATAACCTATTAACTCATACCCAGTAGAGCACATTAGAGCAAGATTTGGAGGAAAACCATTTCCCAGCAATCAGTTAAATCAAACTTTGCAAGATTAGCCAATAATAAATGAATTTATTTAAACTAGTAAATATAGTATTTAAAACAATGCTTTCCCCTTTTCCTTTACACCAAATCAGTCTTTTACTGAAATCCACTTACTAAAAAAAAAAAAAACTTACAGGAATTAATAATACAATTTGTGTCCTGGTCCTGTAGTTTTCTGATGTCAACGGGGGCAAAAAGTCTTTTATAATCAAAGCCAGAGGCACGGTAAAAGCTGAACTACTCCTACAGCTCCTCTCTGAGGTGATCCCACTTTGTAATGACAAAACCAATTTCATAAAGGATCATTGTCCCGGCAAATGTCAGTTTGTATAAGCTGTTTATGTATGATAATTTTATTTCATTTGAATAAGTTGTATTTGCATAAATGTAAAATATATTTCTTCAGAATTATTGTGTGGAATTCTTTAAGTCCTCGAAGTCTCAGTCTGTACCATCTCAGGAAATTTCACGTGGGATAATGCAGGAGCCAGCAAGGGGAGATACTCTGTTGGACCTCACATTTACAAACAGGGAAGGTGAAGGCTGGGGACAGTCATGGCTGTAGTGACTATGAGATAGAGTTCAGGATCTTGAAAAGAGGGAACAAGGCAAATGGCAAGATCATAACCACTCCTTCAGGAAAGTGCACTTTGGCATCTTGAGGCATCAGCTTGGAAGAATTCCATGGGAGACAGCCCTGGAGAGAAGTGTCCAGGATCTGATTGATTTTCAAGAGTCAGCTTTTCCAAGCTCAAAAATCTCCACATAGAGGAAATCAAACAATGGCAGGAGGAGCTCCTGACAAAACTTTACCACAAAAAGGAAGCACACATGAGGTGGAAAAAGGGTCAAGTGAACAAGAGACACTGCTTCAGGTGCTGGGTTGGGGTTAAGAAAGCCAAAGCCAATCTGGAGTTGATTCTGGCAAGATATGTGAAGGGCAACATAAAGGGCTTCTACAGGTCTATGAACAGCTTTAGACAAGGGAAAACAGCAGCCTAGTGCTGAATGGGGCAGGCAGGAGATCCAGTGCAAAGGACAAGGAAGAGGCAGAGGTACTCAATGGCTTTTCCATCTCAATCTTTAGTGGAAAGACTGGCCTTTAGGAATCTAGACCCATGGGAAAGACTTACATGGGAGGAAGGAAGATGTACCTTCCATTTAGGAGGCCCAGGTTAGGGAACATTTAAACAAACTGGACATACAAGTCTATGGGACACAACAGTATGTGCCCACAAGGAGCTATAAGTGCTGAAGAAGCTGCTGATGTCATTGTAAGGTCACTCTTGATAATCTTGGAAAGATCACAGTGATTGGGGGAGGTTCCAAGGACTTAAAGAAAGTAAATGTCTTAAAAAAGGTTAAAAAAGGAGGTCCAAGGAAATATAGGCTGATCAGACCAGCCTCACCTCAATCCCTGGGAGGCTGAGAGAGCAAATAATTCTGGAAAACATCTACAGATGTTAGGGACAAGAATGTGATTGGAAGTAGTCAGCATGTATTAACAAAGAGGAGATTATGTCTGCCAAACCTGACAGCCTCCTACAAAGAGAGGACAAGGGGAGAGCACTGGCAGACAGCACAAGAGAGAACTTATTGATCTTGATTTTGGCAAGTCTTTCAACTTACAGTCTGTCTCCTGTAACATTCTTACTGATTTAGTACAAATTACATAAATGGACAGTGAAACTGAAAACTGGCTGAACTGTCAGGCTCAAAGGGTTGTGATCAGTGCTAGGAAGTCCAGCTGGAGGCCCATCCAAGTCCAGCTGGAAGCCTGTTCCCTGTAATGTACACTAAGGGTTCATACTGGCTCCAATACTATTTAAGGTCTTGATTAATTAGCTGAACAATGGGGCAGAGTGCTCCCTTGGCAATTTTACAAACAATCCAAACTTGGGAGGAATGGTTGATATATCAGAGAATCATGCTGCCATTTAGAGGGTGAGCAATGCATCTTTGCAGCAATGAAGACCAAGAGCCTCCTGGATGACATTAATAAGAGTATCTGCCACCAACAGGTCAAGTAATGTAGTAATGTGTTTATTCCCAACTATTTAGAACTGGTAATGCCACACCTGCAGTGTTATGTGCACCCCTGGGCTTCTCAGTACAATAAAACAATGGGCATACTGGAACAAGTCCAGCAAATTGCTACACAGATGAATAAAGGATTATAGTATTTGTCATAGGAGGAGAGGCTGAGAGAGACAAAATTGGTTAGCTCAAAGGAAAGATGTATGTCTTCTGCTGTCACCTCTGAATAGTACATGCAGCCCTGTTTTCTACAAGTCTCGTCAAGCTGATCCTATGCAAATGAGGTATTGCTCTTGGAGCAATTTAAATGAACAGAGCCATACCTTCTTTCCTGGTGATCGGATCTGTGATCTAAGTCTAGCTTATGAAACTGCTTCTTGGCAGGATTTCTTTAGTTATCACATCAGCAGCTGTGGAATGATAAAATATCTGTAGGAATTTTTAGATTTCAGTCCACTCACTGCTTTTATATCAAGGTTTGCAGTTTCTGCTTCTAGCTGAATTCAATAAATACAGACCGAAATCTTCTTTGCTTTGCTTTTAATTTGTCCTCAGAGATTTTGCACCGTCAGCCACCCTGGGGCCCTCTTCATGGTGACTCCTATATTTTCACGCACACTCACATAATCCCTACATACTTTACAGCCTCATCATGAGGCCTCTACAGAAAGTGACAGATTCAGGTTTGACCAATTTCAAAATCAAAAGGCAGCAGTTACTGCACAGAGGAATGCTTTAGCTTCTGGGCTACTATGTAAAAGTTGATGACTGTACCATGGCTACCACCAATAATATCTTTCTGAATTAAATTAAATGTGACTGCTCACTGTGGGTGTACTGACAGCCTCAGTTTTCCTAATGAACTGGGCAGACTTTGACTCGGGGTCACTTAACCTGTACATCTCAAATGGCCTGAACACACAGACGACTATATACCAAGACTTACCATAGGTTTTTGAGCCTGTTTAAAAGAGCTCTGGACAGAAGATAGAGTGCCTAAAATATTTCAGTTACCTCACTGATTTAAATGAGTATACATGGATTTGTTTTTAGCAAGTGTAAAACAGTCCAGGTTTCAATTTTGTGTTATCTTATATCTTTCCTTAAGCGCTCTGTAAAATGAACAAATTTAAGAGCTAGAATTTTATTTTGAGGTAGGTGAGAAATACTACATATACATTATTGCTGATTAAGAGAAGCCGTTGTGAAACTGCTCATGTCTACAGATATCAGTAATTGGCACAATCAGGACTACTTCCAAGCACACTCACTCTGATGCGAGTCACTGAATAGTATTCCACTGTCAGTTTTATATCTACAGTTTTATATATATACAGTTTATATGTGTATGATTGTACATTGTTCTTTTCCTTCAAAAGGGAATTATATTCAAACGTTACAATATATTCAAAATCACAAATGGTATTTCTTTCATGGTTAGAAATGAAATATTTATAATTTCTTACTTTATTTACATTTGCCCCCTTTTCTGCATTAGGTCTCAGAAATTGTTGAGAAGCTTCCTGCAGCCTGAAATGACAGAGAGCACTGTAAAAAGGACACCCCTATTTTATATCTAAAGAATATTGCTTAATAGGTATTAATCTGAAGAAATATACTGTACGGTAAGGCTTTTGACAGACTACCAACCTTCTGAACACCCAGAGAGCATTTAATTTTTGTCTAATCACAAGAACCTAATGTCACTGCACATGCTACAATGGAAACTCTAAGACAAATACAAAGCTTTGGCATCTGTGTTACCCGTACGCATCCTGTAGTATCAGGTGTGGTGTTCACCACTCTTCTAGTTTCTTGCTGCTCATCTCTGACCATAAGAGCTCGTCCACTTGTTCCTAATTCACCTTTTCTTTCTATCTGGAATGCTCCTACAGAACTTTGTACTGAAAGGACTGGAGTGCAGCTGGACATGAATATTTTTCCTCTCATTGGAAGTACACTGAAGACATCCATCGGGCAAAACATCACACTCTTCTATCCAGACAGGCTTGGCTACTACCCTTACAAAAATGAAGTCACAGGAGAGGCATTCAATGGAGGACTTCCTCAACTCTCACTAATGGAGAATCATTTAAGAAAAGCCAAAGAGGACATCCAGTTCTACATTCCTTCAGACGAACAGCTTGGATTGGCTGTCATTGACTGGGAAAACTGGAGACCCGTGTGGATAAGGAACTGGGGATCAAAAGACATTTATAGACAGGAATCCATTGAACTGGTTCAGCAGAGAGACCTCAGTCTATCTGAGGCTGAAGCCAGAACTATAGCTAAAATGGAATTTGAAGTTGCAGCAAAATCATTCATGTTGGAAACTTTGAAGCTGGGCATAGAAATGAAGCCAAATCGTCTGTGGGGATATTACCTTTATCCAGACTGTTATAACTATGATTACAAACAAAACCCACATAATTACACAGGAGCCTGTTTAGATATTGAAATAGAAAGAAATAATGAGCTTAATTGGTTATGGAAGAAAAGTACAGCACTTTATCCATCTGTCTATCTAGAGACAGCTTTAAGGTCCTCCAGAAACGCCCAACTCTTTGTTCGCAACAGAGTTCAAGAAGCCATTAGAACTTCCTATGTCTCTAATTCTACTCATCCCCTTCCAGTTTTTGTATATACACGTCCAGTATTCACAGATGTCTATGAGGAATATCTCTCTGAGGTGAGTGAAGCTAGACCCTAAATATTTCAAATTTATGTGGAAAGAAATTACCAGGTGACACTTATTTAGCAAATATGCTAACTTGTATCAGAAAAAGGTGTGCAACTTTATATAAAAAATTAAATTCATCCATCAAAGAAATTTGATCAATCAGAACACTGAGGTCTATTTTCAAACCTGTCTCATTATATTTATCAAATAGTGTTTTATTCTCTGAGTTGTCCTCACATGTAACAAAATATTACAAAGCTAGAAAGCATATTTAGTACATTAATTCAGAGGAAAGAAATATGGGTAACCTCTTCAAAGAGAATTATTAAAACTGGGCTGATCTAATGCCTGCATTTTAGGTTATAAGAAAAAAAATACAATAAAATGGAGTCTTTCTTTCCCTAAAAAGTGTTAAAAGCTAGTTAGAAAATTCTGTCCTTAGTTGTACTTGGGTAGCTTTTTAAACGGTATTTCAGCATCCCAGGGGTTAGTTAAGGTTAGGCTCTGATTAAGATCCAATCATCTTATTGCAGTTCTGGTTATACTTTTCCCTTCACATTTTTATAGACACCCACCCCATCAGAGATACCATCGATCTAGGGAATCTCTTCCTGGTGTTCCAGGACATGAGGAAGGGGAAGTTAAAGGCTGTGGTCCTGCTGATGGGATTGTAGCTGGTGTCGTTTCATGTTCTCAATAGAACATCAGCAGGGATTCCCCCCAGGCTGTGTATACTATCAGGGAACAAGGGGTAATGTCAGAGGCCCTGCTGGGATCCTACTTAATAATTTAATTATAATTTAATTAATTATTTAATTATAATTTAATTATATAATAATTTAATTCCTATAATCTTTGCATTAATCCTTTTCTAGTGTTGTCCCCCCCATAGTAAGTTGTTTTTATATTATTCTTTTCATTACCATAGTCCTCTACCATCCAGATAGGCTTCAACATTTTGCTAAGACTGTGTTAATAGCTACTCTAAAAGGAGAAATGAACAGAAACAAATTTCCCCAATCAATATCTGTAAAAGGCCAGAGCCATTCTCTGGAGAAGAGAGATTCTTGCTGGTGAAAGCTCTTTCTGTTTTAGCACTTTTTGGTAACCGGAATTAAGTTAAAAAAAAAAGCAAAATAAAAGCTGTGCTTTCCACATCTTCTTTCCACAACATTACTGAAACCTGTTGCTACCAACTCTGAGCAGTAAGGAAGCAATGCAGCAAAATAAACCTTAGAATGGTTGGAGGAGTGTATGTCATATGCCTAACCACTGGCTCAGTTTTACAGCCTTGTTTTTCTAACAGATGACATATATAAATTGGATATAGTTGGCAACATTTTCTGGCATCACCTGTGCAATTCAATCCCAGAATAAAATTGTGCAGTTGAGAGTAAAACATTTGCACCAGGTATAATTTCTTGCTGTCTTCAAAATAGTTATTTTGGATATGCAATTTCTACATTAGTATGATTCTTTGTACATTTTCCCTCAGGATGACCTGGTAAATACCATTGGAGAATCTGCTGCACTGGGTGCTTCTGGAATTGTGATCTGGGGTGATATGAATTTAACACAAAATAAGGTATGCCAGATCAATTATTACATGAAAATTTTAAGAAGCAATAAAGTGGAGAGGATATAAAGCATTTTGATTACTTACATCATATTTTCTACTTTTAAAATGATGATTCCATATTGCCAGCAGTTTTCTATAGTCAAAACCCAAGCACATCTGAGGCTTATGAAGATCATCATTGACTTCACAGAACAAGAGTTCAGTCTTTTAAAGTATCAGTGCTGATGGCCCTGAGTAAGTGCACAAACTATCATGATAACTGTAGGCAAGTTATCACTTGTTTAATTAATGTAAGTAAAGAATTGCTATATCTTCTTTACATTCCAGTCACGAGATAAAGAAAAAATTACTTGGTTTTGCCCCAGAACAATTTTTAGAAGACCCTTCTGCTTTTTGAATGCACTTGGTAATAACATTTAGAGTGCTAGGAGTAGTCAATCTGTAAAATTTCATCCCTAGCCTGTTCTGTGTGTTGTTAAGTACTACTTCATTTAATTGTATGAAAGATCTGAGTCAGAAGAGGAAAAAACCTCTAGGTTATTTTAGGAAGGGGAAATACATAGTTTGAGAAACACTATTACCAGGATATTTCAAAAAATCTTTCTAGCTAGTTCATTCATAACCAGGCAAGTTAGATATAATGAACTAGGAAGACTCTAGTGAAGTCCTTTGCGTTCGAAGAACTGAAACTCTTCAGCCTTGCCACACCTCCTGTTACAGAAAGCATGGGCAAATAAACCTCCACAGCTCTGTAAGAGTCTTATTCACCAAGGCATTCCACTTTGACTTTTTTGTATGTGCCTGCCCCTGAGAAAGGATATCAGGTTGCACCTAGAACTTTTTTGCCCATTATCCCAATATTAGAACATAGATGAGCAGCAAGTTTTATTACCTGAATTTTGAGATTCCTGTAAAATGAACTTTCCACAGCCCAGTCAGACTATGCATTTGTGCACTAATTGCACCTGTTTTTTTACAGCTTTCACATTAACTAGTCCTTCAGAAATGAAATATTATTGTACTTCTGCATCAACCAAAATTTCTTGTGTTTTTATATATACCTAAAAGAAAAACAAAAAAACCTACATATACCTCAGCTATCTCCATGGATATAGACATTATCTGAATCTATATGTGGCATTGGGCAAACACTCTAAGGAGGCACAGTGTCAGAAACAAGGAAAGAGTTCCCCAAACCTCTCGTTATTAAACTGTGCTAAGCATACACAGAATATATGCCAATTTCATGATCAGTTAGAATGATCTCTTAGTATTCTCTCGGTATATTTCCAGTTTGATCATCCAACCAAAATTCTTTCAATTCCAAAATGCCATGAAAGCTCCCTACCATGCAGCCTAGCTATTCAGGCCAGGGGAAAGCTGAAGAGTCTCACAGAGATGACTTGAGAGAAAAAATATTTGTTCAGGCTGAAGAAGTGAGGTTTTTTTCACTGGATCTCTTTGAACTATTCAAGACATTAAAGGGAACTTCAATCCTTCATGAAACTTCTTTAAATGCATCTGATTCAAAAAACTACATGAAATATAGAGGTAAAATGAAAGCTTAAAGTTGTCTGCTTTTGGTAACATCTCCAGCAACTACACAACATAAATTTGCTGCGATCCTTGAATTTTATAATAGCTTCTCAGATAAACTTGTTTCCAACAACCAGTTATAGCTATTATCAAAACCTCAGGAGAAACAATTATAGATATACACTGTGGTACTGTTATTGGAATGATAGCATTTTAATGGTTTCCATACTAAACTACAGGTATGATGCTCTTTTCACAGAATACCTGTAGAATTCTGGACAACTACCTCAGAAGGACTTTGACCCCATACCTCATCAACGTCACAATGGCAGCCAGAATCTGTAGCCAAGTGTTATGCCAAGACTCTGGTGCTTGTGCACGGAAAAAATGGAATTCCAGTGACTATCTTCACTTGAACCCTGAGAATATTGTAATTCAAATGACAAAGGATGGGAAATACACTCTGCAAGGGCAACCATCATTTCAGGATCTGCAAACATTGATAGAAAAATTTGATTGCCACTGTTATGCAGGGCACAGCTGTGAACCTAGAGCTGATATAAATGACATCCATTACCTCCATGCTTGCATTTCAGAAGATACTTGCATTCAGATATCCCCAAATTCCTTTTCTAACATAGAAGCCTCTGAAGAAAAGATCCTGTCTAACAGAACTGCATTTTCATTTCCCTCTGAGAGTAAGGTGACATTATCTACACATCCTGAAATAGAAGATTTCCAATCTACCTTTGGAAATAATACACTTAATATAAC